AGCACCAGCAGTTTCACTGGGGAATCTGACAGAAATTTTAGGTTCTCGGGTCACCAAAATAAGCAAATCTTTTTTTTTTATTTTTTTTTTTTTATTTTTTTGACAGGCAGAGTTAGACAGTGAGAGAGAGAGAGAGAGAGAGAGAGAGAAAGGTCTTCCTTTTTCCATTGGTTCACCCCCCAAAGGCTGCTACGGCCAGCACGTTGCGGAAGCCAGGAGTCAGGTGCTTCTCCTGGTCTCCCATGCAGGTGCAGGGCCCAAGGACCTGGGCCATCCTCCACTGCACTCCTGGACCACAGCAGAGAGCTGGCCTGGAAGAGGGGCAACCAGGACAGAATCTGGCACCCCGAGAGGGACTAGAACTCGGGGTGCCGGCGCCACAGGTGGAGGATTAGCCTAGTGAGCCGTGGCGTCAGCCAAAATAAGCAAATCTAAAGGTGGAACATGACAGTCTGTTTTAACATGCCCAAAGTTTAGGAGCTACTGCTTATAAAGATGCAGAAAGACAAAATCTGAGTAGTCAGAATGTCTAAAGAAGAAAATTAAACAATACAACATTACAAATGCTTAAAGACACAAGTCAATAAAACCTAAGACTTAAAATCTATACAGCAAAACAAGTGTCAGAGAAAACTAGCACAGTCAACCCCTGTGGGGAGCAATCCGGACTGGACTAAGTTACTGGAATTAAGACTTATTCTATGCATCTGCTCTCCCACAATATGGCGCTGGGAGAGAAGAAAACAGCTTCTACACAGCTGCCTCCAGTTCAACCAATAAACAGCAGGACCTGCTCCTGATTGGAGGAGAGCAGCGTACTCGGCGTGTGGGTAGCAGAGTTGGGATTGGTGGAAGAGGACTATAAAGGAGGAGAGAGACAACATGCACCAGGAACATCTATCTGAAGGAACACCTGTGCAGCCCCCGAGAGAGCCGGCCGGCGGTGTGCTGCTCCCCCGCGGAAGTGGGGAAAGTGGCAGGGGGAACCGCCCTTCCACGGAGGTGGAAGGGTCGGTAGCCAACCCGGGAAGAACCAGCAGCAAACCCGGGGAGGGCCGAGCAGACGAAAGAACAGCGCAGGGTCCTGTGTCGTTCCTCCATGAAGAGGGGGAGCGACAAACCCCTAAAGAGATCTAATAAATTACTAAACAATTTTAAACAACGAGTGAAAAAAGGTTAAGTATTACAGAGGAAAAAACTGAGAATCAGATGCTATCCTGTTGAAAAGCACAGAGACAGAGACAGAGAGAGATCACTCTTCCATCCTCTGGTTTACCACACCAATCACCCTACAAATGTCCACAACAGCCACTGACGGGCAGGCCAAGTCAGGTGCCCAGAATTCTATCCGGGTCTCCCACATGAGTATCAGGGGCCCAAACACTTGAGCTATGCATCTGCTGCCTCCCAGGATGCATTAGCAGGAAGCTGGACTGGAAGCTTAGTGGTTGGGACTTGAACCAGCAATCCAATATGGGATCTGTTATCCCAAGTGGCAGCTTAACCCCCTGGGCCACAACGTTGACCCCTAAAAGACATTTTTAAGAATACTTACAAGTTAAGTGTGAGCTAGGGACTTTGACATCCATCTAAATGATTCTTCTAAAATAAGGGTTATCATACACAAAAAAATTTTGAACATGTAAGAACTTAGGGACCACAGTTCTCATGAAATATTCCTGAGAAAACTAACGAGAATTTTCCAGTCAAGTAAAAATGACTGAGAAATTATTAGAAAATAACCACTGTCTATCAATTATTGAAGAGTAATTAACTATAAACTGAAACAAAGAGGGAGATTAGGGCCAAAGAACAAAGGTAAATATCTATTCCAATAATTAAAAAATAAAAATTGAAAATGGAGAAAAGGGTAAGAACTCCAAGACTGTAATTCAATGCTAGCAAATCAAATAGCACAATGTAGGCATATTTGACAGTAGGCAAATATTACTGATTAAAAACTAGCTGCATGGGGGATGGCTAAAGTGGCTGGGTCCTTGCCACACATGGGGGAGACCTGGATTGGCTTCCTGGTTCCTGGCTTTAGCCTCACCCAGCTCTAGCCATGGTGAGCATTTGAAAAGTGAACCACTGAATGGAGCTCCCTGTGTATCCATCTAGAACTCTAGGCTTGTCTCTGTGAGTGAGACCCCAGAGGAAAGAAGTGGCCATCAAAGAAAAATGTACTTTTCTCTAAAGGAAGGAGAAAACTTTTACTTTTCTATGGCCTTGTCCAAATGCTGACGAAATTTGTTGACTTAAAAGGCTTCCATAGCCTAGGCAGCTCATGTCAACAGCCTTGGGTGGTCACTGATGTCATACATAAGAGTGTTAATTGTTAAATTAACAACAGGAGTCACTGTGCACTAGTTCTCAAATTGTTTATGTGTGTGTGCAAAATGCTGAAATCTTAGTATAGAGTTGGTCTTTGGTGTACAGTTAATTGAAAATGAATCTTAATGTAGAATGGGACTAGGAAAGGGAGATGGAGGAAGAAAAGGAGTGAGAGTGCGGGTGGTAGGTGGTGTGGTGGGAAGAATAACTATATTCCTAACACTGTACTTTTGAAATTTCTATTCCTTAAAAATAAACTTAAAACAATAATTAAAAAAAAAAAAAACAAGAAGGGTGGAAATGTGAAGAATAAGATTAATGCACTCCTAGTAAAGATACTTTCTTCCTAGAACACAGAGTGTGATCACAGGGACTGATTAAGGATAGCTTATGACCTATTAACAATAAGAGTATTAAGCCCCTGTGAGAACGCTGGCTCCACAAGAACATGTAGCTACTTTCCCAGACGTGAATATCTAATATGTTTTGCTAAACATGTTTCAGAGAAACCTTAGTTTTATAAACTCATGCATGTGCTGTACAATAGGCTATTGTAATCCTTATCAATAAAGAAAACACACTGGGTTAGCCTGGCAGCATTTTTCTGAAGAAGAGTTCCCGTGACCTGTCTCTTCTTTCACTTGTGCACCCCTACACATGAAATACCAGCAATGACTTGTGCTGGGCCAGGCCATAGCAAGGAGCCCAGAACACAATACAGATCTCCCATGGAGGTGGTAAGCATGCAACTACTGGAGCCATCACCGGCAGCCTTCCTGGATGCTCATTAGCAGGAAGGTGGGCTTAGAAGCAGAGCTGTGACTTGAACACAAGCACTCCAATGTGAGATACAGATGTATCATACAGTATCTTAATCACTGTACCAAATGTTCATCCCATCCATAATGCTTATACCAAATATTTTATTTATACTTACTCTGAAGAAATGTATACCCACAGAAAGCAAAGATGTTCACTGAATTACTACTAAAGACAACAAAAGGCAAGAAGCAATCTAAAAATCCACCAATAATAACCTAAGAAAATAATTTGTGGCACACCCTTACTGTCAGTACTGGGTAGCAGTTAAAAAAAAACATTGGCAAGTTTCATGTGCATTCATATAAAAATATTGCTGTGCCATATTCATATTGTTAAGCAAAAAAAGAAGAGAGTCAGATTATTTAGTATTACCCATTTAAAGAGACAAAGCAAGAGCAGGCATTTGGTGTAGACACCACTTGGGAGGTCCATATCCCATATCAGAGTTCTTGGGTTTGATTCCTGGCTATACTCCCAATTCTGGTAATGCACTTCCTAGGAGGCAGCAGGTGATGGCTGGCCTAGCCCCAGCTAATGTAGGCAACTGGGGAGTAAACCAGGAGATGGAAGATCTGTGTATGTGTGTCTCTCTCTCTTTCTCCCTACATTTCAAATAAATTTAAAAAAAAATTTTTTTTTTAAACTAGGTAGGCTGGGGCCAGCGCTGTGGCATAGCAGGTAAAGCCACTGCCTGCAGTACAGGCATCCCAAATGAGTATCAGTTCAAGTTCTGGCTGCTCCACTTCCAATCCAGCTCTCTGCTGTGGCCTGGGAAAGCAGTGAAGTTGGCTCAAGTCCTTGTGCCCCTTCACCTGCATGGGAGACCAAGAAGCTCCTGGCTCCTGGCTATGGATCAGCGCAGATCCAGCTGTTGCAGCCATCTAGGGAATGAGCCAGTGGATGGAAGACCTCTCTCTTTCTCTGCCTCTCTGTAAGTCTGCCTTTCAAATAAATAAATAAATCTTTTTAAAAATTGTTTATAAAACAAAACAAAGACTATGCTATTTCCTATCACTTGAGTTCAGATTCTCAGCAATGGCAGAGGGGCTGGTGCTGTGGTGCAGCATGTTAAAGACCTGGTCTGCAGTGCCAGCATCCCACGTGGGCACCAGTTCAAGTCTCGGCTGTTCTACTTCCGATCCAGCTCTCTGAGTGGCCTGGGAAAGCAGCAGACAATGGCCCAAGTGCTTGGGCCCTGCATCTGCTTGAGAGACCCAAAAGAAGCTCCAGGCTCCTGGCTTCGGATCAGCCTGCCTCCAGCCATTGTGGCTATTTGGGGAGTGAACCAATGGATAGAAGACCTCTCTCTCTCTCTCTCCCTCTCTCCCTCTCTCCCTGCCTCCCTGCCTCCCTGCCTCCCTGCCTCCCTGCCTCTGCCTCTGCCTCCCTGCAACTCTACCTTTCACATTGATAAATAAATATTTTATAAAATAAAAGAAAGCAATGCCAGAGAATTTTAATTTAATAAAAAAATAGGCATCATATGCCAAACAATGTTGAGTTTTAGGAATAATATGAATAGGCCTAAAAAGTAATTTTTCACTCCATATAATCCTATGTTGTTAATAGTTTTTCTAAAAAAAGTAGTATGGACTAATGGCCATGAATCAAAAACTGTCATAAGAAATCAGAAGCAACCTAGTCTAAGCTTCCAACACTGGGACTCTTACTAAAGAGGAAAAGCCCTAGAATCATACATGTCTGGCCAAAACAGTGCTATAGCCAATTCAAGGGGTTGCTGGAACAGTCAAGACTAATGGGCGACCAAATGTCATTCTTCTTCCCCTCACAAGGTAAATTAGGATACCAAGCACTAATTAGCAAGTAAGATAAATAAACTTTACCTTTCTTGAAGTATGAATGTCAAAAAATGGCTTATTTCTGACACTAAATGGTTCCTGTGTTTTGTCAATGAGCCCAGTCTTCATTTTTTCATGTCTAGGATTTATAATTTCTCGTTCTATACACTGCAGACGGATATTAAAATCACAATCTCCAACTGGCTGTGCCTGAACAGAAGAGACAATTATGTAAATTTCAATACTATTTTAAAATTATTTTTTCAGTATAATTATCAAAACTGCCATAGAATGATAGTAGTATATGGAAATAGTATCTTTTGGAGTTGTATAGTATACAGTCTGTACCACCATATACATCAGTCTTAACAGCCTGACTAACGAAATAGAAACATTCTACACACACATATATATACAGTCATTTTAAACATAACTGCATAAAATAGTATAGAAAAAAGATACGAATTTACTTAAGTTGATTCAAAGATTTTTGTATCTGAATTAAGGCATTAATATACTTACCTTCTTTTGTGACATCTCTGAATTTGCAAAATATTTGTATAAAAATTAAAATGCATGTAATTCAATAAAGAACAAGAAAATTAGGATAGGCACTCACAGTGCTTTTCACTGTTTGAAGCACTAACATTTTACAGGCATCAATATGTAGAAGATATTTATTAGATACATACATCCTTAACCCTGGAAACACAGGAAAAGTTTATATAGTACTTCAAAGTTATACTGTTATTAAAAAAGGTAAAGTTTTCTTCTCTTCTTCCCAATAACCTTGCACTTCAGTGTCCTTAAAACATATGCGGTTTGCATGGTGAAATAACAAGTGCACGCAGGAGTAAGTTTGTTCTAGTGTCAGGATGCCAACTGGGACACCAGCATCTGAGTATAATTCCTGGCTCAAACTCCTGACTCCAGCTTCCTGCTAGTGTAGACCCCGGGAAGTAACAGTGGTGGCTCAAGTAATTATATTCTTGCCATCCATGTACAAGACCTGGATTGAGTTCCCAGCCCCTAGCTTCAGCCACCCCCAGCCTCTGTATATATCTGGGGAATGGACCACTGAACATTATACATATTTCTCTCGCTTTCTCCCTCTCTGTTTATCTGCACCTGTCTCTGAAGTAAATAATTTTTTAAAATACACATACACTTGTGTATAGCTGAGGGTGAGGAGCTTGCCCTATCCACATAGTATATAGCAACATAATCATTACTCATCACGTGGTTGACAGTAATCATCCAGATTGGTAAGGACTGCTTCAACCGCCTGAAAACTACTTTGTATCTCCTCAACTGGACACCTCCGGTGCATTTTCCACCATCTTTTCTGTCTTCTTCCTCTTCCCCAATCTATATTACACAACCTAATATTTATTCAGCCTAATGTTTCTACCAGAGCAGCAGTACTTGCTTAAAGTGAACAATGTTAGCTATGCCTGGGGATGTGTTTTTCTTAGCTTTAGAAGGATGACAACCTGGAGACCCAACCAAAAAATAAAAAAAAAGGAGTAAGACAAAGTGAGCAGGAGTTAGATATAAAGTAGAACATGTTCTCTGCATAAAGATATACAACTGTTGAGCTGAAAAAATCATAATATACAGCTATCTGTAAAGGACATTTATTGAAGAAATGCTAGCAAACAACTGCACGGTCTATGTGTGATCTTTTGCATGCAATCTATGTCATCAACATGGATGAAAACCTAAGATGGTAAAGTTTTATTTATTGGGTAAATTAAAGAAATTCAGACACCTAAAAAATTAAAATGGGACAAACAACCCTTTTTTCTTAAGAAAAAGCCTAGTAACTCCTAGCAGGTAAGTAAGTCATCTCAATTCTTTCCTAGAATGCTTCCCATTTTAAAATATTAAAAAACTCACTGCCATAACAAGAACAGATTGAAAGCAAGCTCACCTTCAAATCTACAATGCTTGCTGAAAAGGAAGCCCTACAAAATATGGGCACTAAATCACTGAGAAAAAATAATAACTATTATTATTATTAACTATTGTCTAACCAGTTCAAAGTTTTAGATTCTTCTGAAACACTACCCATGCTGCCACTAAAGTTATCTTTCAAAACAATAAGTGTGTGAGTATATCATTACAGAAACTAAAATTCCTCTACACTGCCCTATTACGTAAAGAACGTTAAAATGCCTTATTCAAGTAATCCAGCCACCAGTTCACCAATCCATTCCCAAATCATCTAGCGTTCCTGACATCCAAGACTCAATCCAGCAAACCTAATTTGTGTCATTTCCCTGTCTGCAAGTCCACACTTCAGTGACTCAAGAATATTAAGTGCTAGGGTTTGAACAAGATTTGCACCAAGAGGTAGTAAAAGCATAAAAATAAACACAAAATTCAGTACAGCGGCTGCTTCTGGTCACGAAAATCAAGAACAGGATAAGAGAGGAGTACAGAAGAAACATACTGGATTTATAATCATTTCTTATTAAAATGAAGAGAGATTAAATGTTTTAACAAATCCATGAGTACTGACTGTATTATGTTCTATACTCTTAAAATATTAGAAGGTTGTCATCTAAAAGAGAAGCCAAGAAGTGAGCCCATGGAGCCAGCCTTGTGGCATAGCAGGTTAAGCCATCACCTGTGATGCCGGCTTCCTACACGGGCACCAGTTTGAGACCCAGCTGCTCCACTTCTCCAGCTCCCTGCTAAAGCACCTGGGAAAGCAGCAGCAGATGGCCCACGTGCTTAGGTCTCTGCACCCACATGGAAGACCCAAAAGAAGCTCTGGGCTCCTGCCTGTAGCATGGCACAGCTCTGGCTGTTGCAGCCATTTGGGGAGTGAACCAGCAGATGAAAGATCTCTCTGTCTCCAACTCTTTCAAATAAATAAAAAATAAATCTTTCCCTTTTTAAAAGATTTATTTTATGTATTTGAAAGGCATAGTTACAGAGAGAAGTAGAGAAAGAGAGAGAGGTCTTCCATCTGCTGGTTCACTCCCCAGATGGCCACAACGGCCGGAGCTGTGCCGTTCCGAAGGCAGGAGCCAGGAGCTTCTTCCGGGTATAGCGGCCCAAGCACTTGGGCCATCTTCTACTGCTTTCCCAGGCCATAGCAGAGAGCTGGATTGGAAGAGGAGCAGCCACGACTAGAACCGGCACCCACATGGGATGCCAGCGCTTCAGGCCAGGGCTTTAACCCACTGAGCCACAGCGCCGGCCCCAAAAATAAATCTTAAAAAAAAAAAAAAAAAAAAGTGAGAGCACATGAACACGTTAAGGTAGAACTCACTATCAAGAGGCAAAGGAAGCAGCACTTACTTATTCACAAAGATGCAAAGTCACCCCCATCCCTTATTTTTAGCTATAGGTCAAGGACTGTAATTCTGAGAAGTGTGATAAGATTAAGCATTATTTTCCAGGAATACAGTAGTTACAAACAGAATAAGATGAAAATATGATGTTTTCTAGCCTTGAGATTCTTAAATTTGAAACTCTACATTTTGAATTTAGATATTCACCCCAAAAAATGAGATACATACATGGAAAATTTTCAGGAAAAAAAAAGTGTGCCCTGAAGTAACCTGTAATAATACAATCCTTAATCTTAATCTTAATACAGTAACTTATTAAAGTAAAATATACTTCAAAAAAGAGTTTTTCAAATGTTGTAATAAATCTTCAGAACCTTAAACATTTTTTAAAGACTTATTTATTTATATGAAAGGCAGAATGATGATGACGGAAGGAGAGAGAAAGAGGGACAGGGACAGGGAGGGGGGAAGGTAACAGGGAGGGAGGAAAGGGATATGTTCCATCTACTGGTTCACTCTCCCAAATTGCGACAATGGACAGGGTTGGTCAAGACCAAAGCCAGAAGCCTGGAGCTCCATCCAGGTCTCCCCCATGACTGGCAGGGGTCCAAGTACCTACTTGATCATCTTCTGCTGCCTTCCCAGGCTCACTAGCAGTAGCTGAATTGGAAAGAGAGCAGCCAGGACTCACTGGTGCTCTGATATGGGACGCAGTGCTGAAGCAGCAACTGAGCTCACTGTGACACAACACCGGCCCCAAAACATAAATAGTTAAATTTGAGAATTCTTAAATGTTTTCAGTCTGGCTTGAAAACTAAATGATTATTCAGTTTGAATAATGCATGTATACAGGATTGATTATATGTGTTCACAGATATGCACCATCAAGTTTCTTGCATTTACAGAAGTCATATTATACTGCCTAACTAATCTAGATCATCACATTATAAGTAAACATAAACAGGAAATGGATTCTTGGCTACTCTAAAACTGTAGGAAATAAGTAGAGAACATAATCCTCATTCCTTTAACAACTTTTTTTACAGGCATAGTGGACAGTGAGAGAGAGAGAGAGAGACAGAGAGAAAGGTTTTCCTTTGCCGTTGGTTCACCCTCCAATGGCCACCGTGGCTGGCACACCGATCCAAAGCTGGGAGCCAGGTGCTTCTCCTGGTCTCCCATGCGGGTGCAGGGCCCAAGTACTGGGGCCATCCTCCACTGCACTCCCGGGCCATAGCAGAGAGCTGGCCTGGAAGAGGGGCAACCAGGACAGAATCCGGCGCCCCGACCGGGACTAGAACCGGGGGTGCCGGCACCGTAGGTGGAGGATTAGCCTATTGAGCCGTGGCGCCAGCCCTTTGACAACTTTTTAAAACAGGAAATTTTGTATTTTATTTTTGTTTCTTACTTCTATTGATAAATAACAATTTCTGTCTCTAAATTACACATTAATACCTTATATCAGTTTCTCTTTTGTTCTTTTTAAGTTACAAATAAAACTAGAATGCTTTTTTAACAATAAAGTATAAAATAACTAAAACCAAGAAATTTTCACTTTACTTATCAAACTATTTTCTTTATCCATTTGAAATTAAAGAAACTTAAAGGATCAGCCTTGTGGCACAGCAGGTTAAGCAACTGCCAAGGCACCAGCATCCCATATGGGCACCAGTTCAATTTCCAGCTCCTCCAGTTCCAATCCAACTTCCTGCTAACAAGCCTGGGAAAGCAGAAGACAGTCCAAGTGTTTGGGCCTCTGCACTCACATAAATAAAATAAACAAATAAATCTTTAAAAGAAACAGAAACTTAAAAGAAAAAGAAATGTGCCAGGGCCAGCACTGGGGCACAGAGGATTACTCTGCTGCCTACAACACAGGTATCCCATATGAACAACGGAGGCCACTCCATTTCTCATCCAGCTCCTCACTAACGTGCCTGGGAGAGCAGCAGAAGGTGGGCCAAGTGCTTGGTTCCCTGTCACCCACACAGGAGACTTGGATGGAGTTCCAGGTTCCTGGCTTCGGCCTGGCCCAGACCCAGCCACTGTAGCTGTTTGAGGAGTGAACCAACAACTGGAAGATATCTTTCTTTCTCTCTGTCTCTTCCTCTCTATCTATCTAACTCAGCCATTCAAATAAATAAATAAATCCTAAAAAAAAAAAAAAAAAAGTATGTAAAATATCAGACAATAAGAGAAAGAAAAGGAGAGGTAAAAGTATTAACAAAAAGATGACTGGCAAATAACCTAAAATAGTCACAATTTTCCTAACTATCTCTCAGGCAGTGGCAAACACTTTTTATCTGTTAAAGATAAATTTATTATTTCACTGACAGTTTTCATTTTCTCAATTATAAACTTCATAAATTTTAAAAGGTACTTACATTGAATTTAATGATGTCATATATCAAATATCTAGGAACAGCCTGTCCATTTACTCTGTCAATAATCATCTCCTTGAAAGAGAAAACATAAGTTTCTTCATTTGTTAACAGTAATTTCTTTGACTGAAATATACCATATACACAAGAAACACATAAACCTTAAATACACAACATGATAGAATGTCCCAGTAATCACACTGTACCCAGTTAAAAATCTGTAAATTGTCAGCACCTTTAAAAAATCTTACTATGCATAAAAATCACATGATAATATCACATCATATTTTTTTACATTTGAATTAGTATGTTACATGTTGTTTTATGTTTGAATTACTAGCTAACATTTAAGAGTGAAGAGACTACAAAATTAAGTTCTAAAAATCAGGGTCATTTATTAAAAGAATTTTGTTCCAACATTTCTTGTTTAAAACCTCATTTTATGCCAATGATTGTAATCCTAAGTTTGAAAATTAAATGGCCCCCTTATTATGGATGTAATTCCCATGTGACCCATGTGATCTTGGTTCCACGCCAGGTTACTAGACGTCAATGGAAGGGAAAAGGACAAAGACCATAAACAGGTTTCTGCAAATTTGCCTTAGTGTTAAAAGTCAAAATTAATTCCGGATTCTAACAGAAAGAGATAAGGACACCAAGGGTTGATTACAGGCATAATAATAAAAAATAATAAATAATGCAGTATTTTATAAAACTTTAATTATTATTTTTTATCTAAGATCATTTTTTTGCCTCGTATTTTTCCTAGGAAACTCAACAGATTTTCTTGCTTTCTTAATTTCACGAAAGAAAACCCACACATAATCATCTAAAATTATAAAGAACATACTGATATAAGAAACAATTTTTATTTTAATAAGCCAGTATCAATTAATTCATTTCTTGAATATATGTTTGTTAAGCAACACACATTTGCTTAGGATTAGCACCTTTAAGTTAACACTTGACATAAATTAGAATGTATTTATTATAAACTGTTCATTAAGCATTTTTATTTAAATACTTTTATCTGAGTATTTTACATACTAACAAAGTAATACTGATTACAAAGTTCAATTAAATATTCTTCTAAAATATAAGTGTTTGGAAATTAAATGACAGGATCAAATAGCAGAAATCACAAGAATCTTCCTCCCAAATTACCTGATAAATGAGCAAAAATGTTTTCCTTTAAACATACTTTTAAAAGCCAAAAGAAAATTCATTTTCAGAAAATCAAACTATTCAAAAGGGAAAATCAAAAATCTGACAACCAGGGCCCGCATTGTGGCATAGTAGGTAAAGCTGCCACCTGCAATGCTGACATCCCATATGGGCACCATTTAAAGTCCCAGCTGCTCCACTTCCGATCCAGCTCCCTGTTAATCACCTGGAAAATGCAGCAGAAGATGGCCCAAATGTTTGCACCCCTGTCACCCACAAAGGGAGACCCAGATGAAGATCTTCAGCCTGGCCCAGTTCTGGCCACTGTGGCCATCTGGGAACTGAACCAGTAGATGGAAGACTCTCTCTAAAACTCTGACTTTCAAACAAATAAATAAAACTTTAAAGAAAAATCTGAAAACCAATAAACTACCAAGATTTTGGTAAGAAAAAAAGACATACCTAGGTCCAGATCTAAGCCAGCCAAGCCTTCAGAAGCTCTAATGGAAAGATTCCTAATAATTTTCAAATATAGATAGAAGGAAACTCAGTGGCTACCATTTTCTTTTTCCCCTTCCTCTTCTAACTGAACAGTAATAAAAGTAGATTAACACTCTTTTTCTGTCTGAAGTAAAGGCTCCAGGGATCCACACTTAAATTGAGAAATAATCTAGGTATTAGTGGAATAAAATATCGCTCTCAATTAGGCAAAAAAGATATTCACCAAAAATTCTCTGGTTCCTGTCTTGGTTTTGACAGGCAGAGTGGACAGTGAGAGAGAGAGGCAGAGAGAAAGGTCTTCCTTTGCCGTTGGGTCACCCTCCAATGGCCACCACAGCCAGCACGCTGCAGCCGGCGCACCGCGCTGATCCGATAGCAGGAGCCAGGTACTTCTCCTGGTCTCCCATGGGGTGCAGGGCCCAAGCACTTGGGCCATCCTCCACTGCACCCCCTGGCCACAGCAGAGAGCTGGCCTGGAAGAGGGGCAACCGGGACAGAACCTGTTGTCCCGACCGGGACTAGAACCCGGTGTGCCGGTGCCGCAAGGCGGAGGAGGATTAGCCTAGTGAGCCGTGGCACCGGCCTCACCAAAAATTCTTAAGAGAGAACAGAACCCATGGTTCTAACAAAGACCTAACACCAGGCAGAGAATACTAACATATGAGGATACTTGACTTCTTCACATGACCCTGCCACCACAATGTCTCCTTCCCCACACTTCTACCACTGCCCTAGGCTACAGAAAAATAAGGAAACATCAAATATGTAAGCTTAATTCTTAGTTAAGAAAACTCGAACTTTGTACACTACTGGTTGGAATGTATATGGAACAAACAGCATAAGGGGGAAAAAACTAAAAACAGAACCACCATATGATCCAGTAAGCCCCACTTCTCTGTATACATCTGGTAGCTTTGGGATCCACAAGGAGGGAAGGCCTAAACTTGCAGGAATGGAGAATCTCTACCTGTACTTCCGGGGAAGAAAAGTCCTTGTCAAGGTCCCTGCGGGTGCCTAAAGATCAACCAATGAGATCAGACCCGCCTCAACCTTTAACCCCCATGCCCTGAATCTATAAAAGGAGCTCTCCCAATCTCTGATGCACAACTTCCCCTGGCCCCCAGCTCGTTGCTCTGTTGGGACCGGGGAACCTCGCCTGGGAGCGGAACTCTAATAAAAGCCTGTGAATTAATTGATTCGTCTGCCTGGGAAGATTTGTTACACGCCGGACACCTTGCAGATGGTGCCGTTTAAGTGTTTACAGCAGGTGATAATGGAATGAACCAAGACCTTCAGCAACCAGGCAGTCAACCAGATGCTTCTCCATCCATACATGCCTGTCCCTGCGGAGCCCCAAGATACCCCCAGCGGGCCCCTGTAGACGACGTCCCCAGTCAGCAGGAAGTAGCCAGAGAGACACATCGTCGCCCCCCTTCCTATCATCAACATCCAAAAGTACTGCTTAAAAAAGGGTCTCAGGGCTAGCGTTGTGGTGTAGCAGGTAAAGCCGCTGCCTGCAGTGCCAGCATCCCATATGGGCACCACTTTGAGTCCCGGCTGCCCCACTACCGATCCAGCTCTTTGCTATGGCCTGGGGAAACAGTAGAAAATGGCCCAAGTCCTTGGGCCTCTGCACCCACGTAGGAGACCTGGAATAAGCTCCTGGCTTCAGATCAGCGCAGCTCCGGCCCTTGCAGCCAATTGGGGAGTGAACCGGTGTATGGAAGACCTCTCTTCTCTCTGCCTCTCCTTCTCTCTATGTAACTCTTTCAAATAAATAAATAAATCTTTTTTAAAAATTGCTAAAATGGTAAACTTTATGTTATATAGCTATTACCACAATCTTTAAAAAATATATAAAAAAAACTGTAGTGAAGAAAACAAACTTCAATTTCTGACCAAAATGTTTAACAGGAAATGGATTTACTCTTCTGCCTGAAACAACCAAATGCATGAACAAAATACACAAAGCAGTAATTTCCAAGACCCTGCACATTCAGCAACAAAGGAGAGGAAGCACACTAGGTCGAGTCTACCAATGTGTCCCAGTCACTATCTGAGGAGAGCTTCGCGGCCTCAGCCTACGAAGGAGACACAGAGGAAGCTCAGTGGTCTCTCTGAACTGAGAAAACAAAATAGGATGTTGAGGAAAAGCAAAGCAGCTGGAGTGCTCAGGGCAGAGAATAGGAGAGAAAGAACTCCAGAGATGTGCTCATTCAGGAGCCCCCTTGGATATTCAGCAGGGACCAATCAGCATATGCATGTAAGGGAACTACCCAAGGCTAGAAGGACTAGCACCTGGCTACCAGCACAGGGAAGGGAGCACCTGTTCACACTAGCCAGAAAAGAAATTACATCATTCACAGAGTATTTGAATACTAAAAAGGATCTACTCTCAGTAGTGAAGGATTGTTATCTCTAAAAATTAACCTGGTGTACCTAAGAAGTCTTAAAAGCAGGATCTGTAAATAACAAATTAGTTTCAAGTAAATTAACTGCATTCCCAAATAAGGCTCAGGAAAATTTACAGGAATTACAAAAATAACAGCCCCCCAAAAAAAACTAAAATTCAAAATGCCTGTAGCCAATATAAAAAAAGTATCAGGCATGCAAATATGATCCACAAGGAGGAAAAATCAAACAAAACTGATCCAAAACTGACAGAGATGTTAAAGTAAGGAAATAAGACACTAAACTTATTATATATTCATTAAAAGACTCAATGAGGGGCAGGTGTTACAGTGCAACAGACTTAGCCACTGCTTAAGGACATTTGGATCCTATATGGCAGTGCCAGTGTCCAGGCCCCACCATTTGCGACTGGGTCCCTGCTAGCCACATGGGAGATTCTGATGGAGTTCCTGGCTCCTGGCTTCAGCCTGGCCCAGCCCCACTTGTTAAGGGTATTTAGGGATGGAGTAAACCAACAAATAGAGGATATCTAGCTCTCTTCCTCTGTCACTCTGCCTTTCAAACATACACATCTTAAAAAACAAAAGCAAAAACAAAAAAAAAACCCTTGGGGCTGGCATTGTGGTATAGCAGGTTAAGCTGCCATCTGCGACACGGATGCCAATTCAATGGAAGCCAGTTTGTGTCCCAATTGCTCCACTTCAAATTCAGCTCTCTACTATTATGCCTGGGAAAAGTAGTGGAAGATGGCACAAGTCCTTGGGCCCCCGCCACCCATGTGGGAGAACTGGATGAAGCTCCTCACTCCCATTTTCAGCCTGGCCCAGCCCTGGCTTTTGGAGCTATCTAGGAAGTGAACCAGGAGATAGAAGATCAATCTCTCCCTTTCTCTCTCCCTCTCTTTCAGATAATAAATTAATAAAAAAAAAAAGATAAATAAATATTTTAAGAAGAAAATATAGCAATAAAAATTTCAAAAATGAAACACAAAATAAATG